CACGACCGCACTTGCTTATTAATTGCGAAACGTCTGCCGCAAATGAAATATGATTATCCATTTAAATACTAAATGCGAAATTACAAGTTTTTTTTATATTAAACAAGTCCCAGAGTTTATTAAAGAACCGCTGCATCCACCAAGCAGGCATTTAATATCGGCGGACGCGAATATTTTTATGGCGGATGCGCCGGGTCACGGGGTGATGGATGCAAAAAAGACCCTAATGAATTTAATCTCGCCGAAAACGCAATAATTTCCCAGGCGAAAGAGAAACATCCCCTCGCATCCTGTTTATGATCTACGCCGAAACCGTTTTATGCTAATTTTCTAAGACCCAAATTTATTTTTTTCCTTTATCTCCTCGTTTTTCTCTCCTAACCTTCTTGATTTATAGCACGTTTTCAAATTTATAGACGCTTTCGCATTCATACAGTAAAGGACATCAATCCCGCGTTTTCCTCACATTTTTTTTCTCTTTTCACAAATCAAGAAACATCTTTCATTTTGAAACGTCGAAAATCCAAAGTGGATAAAAGTCTAAGCAACAAATAATGTATAATCAATAAAATTAAAAAAATGAGAAAAAAAAACATTCATTATTAATTTAGTAATTATTTCATTCAAGGTTTTCAAGAAACACTAGCGATTTGCGAAACATAGTTTGGGAAACCCTGATCTTCATCATAGTGGAAGTAATGCGCGTATAAATAGACGCTTTCGCATTCATGCAGTAAAGGACATCAATTCCGCGTTTTCCTCACATTTTTTTTTTCTCGTTTCACAAATCAAGAAACATCTTTCATTTTGAAACGTCGAAAATCCAAAATGGATAAAAAGTCTAAGCAACAAATAATGTATAATCAATAAAATTAAAAAAATGAGAAAAAAAGAACATTCATTATTAATTTAGTAATTATTTCATTCCAGGTTTTCAAGAAACACTAGCGATTTGCGAAACATAGTTTGGGAAACCCTGATCTTCATCATAATGGAAGTAATGCGCGTATAAATTGGGGATGGTGGATTTTTGGGGTGAAGGGTTGGCGACCAATTAAAGTTTTGCGGGTTCGATTCAATTTACTTCCGCAAACCGAACTTTAAGTTAATTAAATTTTCTTCGAAAGCCGCAGCACACATAATCTTTATATCATCGTCCCGCGTTTCCGTTTCCGGAAAACCGTCGACGCATGCGCCCACTCACAAAAAAAATTTCGCGAATCGATTTGCGGTTTAAATTGATAATGTTAAATTAAATTGTCCGAAAATCCGCCGACGCAGTTTCGGCAACATCGCAAATCCAACCACCCTCAACCATCCCCTCCCAGCAAAAACGCACACGCAACTAAACACACAGATATATGTTGTATACATATTTGCATGCACACACACGCGAAATTTAATAACGACAAAAAAAAAAGAGCGAGCAATTTGAAATTTAATCATGTCGAAAGCGGTTTAATAATCAATATATTACATCCGCAATGTAGTATATTATAATTAAAACGTAGTCGAGTGGATTCGAGTGTGTAACTAAAATTGAAATAATTGTCCACCTAACTCCACCCTCGCCCACCACACACAAACACACAAATACAACCATCAATTCTCATTTTTGCCTGGATGTTTTTTTTTTTTACTTTGCTCCTTTCCAAATCCTGAATGATTAATCAAGTTCTCTCTTTTTGCAAGCATCCTTTTTCTGTACCGCGATTTTTATTTCGTCCTCCCTTCCCCTCCACCAAAAACAATGATTAATCGACGCCTCCTTATCATCATCGGTGGCGCATAATGATGACGTTTTTTTTCAGTCTCAGTGCGGTGAACAAATTTTTGCAATGCAAATATGCCAAGCTCCGAAAATAAAACGCCAATAATAATCCGTTCGATTCATGCGCGACCGCGAATCCCGCAAGGAATCAAATTTATAATTTACCCGCACAAATATTTTTTTTTTTATATTTACTTTTTTTCCACAACGGAATATGCAAATGTTATAACCGCAAAACCGAAACGTATATTTATGAAAATTTAATATATTTGCATAACTTTGTATCACATTTTTATTATATCAATATCGAAGGATAACAACATTTCAATCTATTCAAAAAAATAAGATTATTATTTAATCAAATTAATAATATTAATAATCACTTCTCAGAATTGATGTAGAACACGAAAGTTGAGGTAAAGTTTAAAATGCAAGCAAGCAATAAAGCAACACGTATTAAAATATTAAACTGTTCGAGACATAAAGCAGCAAACATGTTGAATTTTAATACGGGTGGAAGCTTAAAAAAGTTGGAAGCGGAGCGAGAGAGTGCATAAAGTATGATGTTCCGCAAAAGTACGGTACATATTTAAAACAAATACTTTGCGATTTACGGATGAATTTATAAGTGGGATTGCATATTTGATGCGCTTCAGATGACGCAAACAAAACAAAAAAGAAGACAACTTTGTTACGATTTCCGTAGAATGTTGTAGTTATGTAAAGTCCGATATTAAATGTTTTAGAGAGGAATGCGATGGAATTGCAAGGTTCTTGTTCGAGGAAGAAAAAGGGTTTGTGAGGGAAAGAGAGACGAGAGGCGGCGGCGGCGGTGCTTGCAGCATATCAAATGCAGAACTCCCTCGACCGCATCTAATACCGCTCAAGAATGTTTTATTCCTTTTCCAGGACATTCGGTGTCTGTACGAGATAAAAGGATCAAAGTAAAAAAGTTCCTCAACTTTTATGCGCGGCCCTGTTTTTCCATAATACGTCCCGATCCACCCATCATACCCTCAACCCCTCCGACTCGAGGCAAGAACACACTCGCACCAGATGAAGAAGAAGAAAAAAAAAGTAAAGTAAGAAGTGTATAAATGGGAATAAAATAAAGCGGTTAATGAATCCGGACTTAATCCCTTTTCCGTTCCGCCCTGAGCCCCGGACTTGAGCGTATTACTTTATAGCCAAGTTTCGGTTTTTGTAACATTTGTATATTTACATTCATTTTTATACCTAAAATAAAATAAGCAGCGCAACAAAAACAAAGGTTTTTTTTAGTTGAATATTAGTTAGTTAATCCATTTTCGGGATAAAGGACTTAAATCATAATCGGAGGAGGAAGTTAAAGCCGCGATATTATTGATTAGTCCTGACCAATGGATAGCTTAAATATTAGCGGCGCGGATTAAAGCCCGAGCAAGTTTTACCAGATAGAATAAATGGAGCAATTTACGAACTGTTTCATAAGGGATTATGTAACATGAAATCTGCTGCTGCCGCCGCTTCGCATCGTTCCCCACCCTTTCCCATTTTCTCGCTCTCTCTCTCTCTCTCTCTGGTTCATCCCTATTTCCTATTCATCTATCCTTCCTGCAGTTTCCAACCCTTTGCACGACTCAACCCACTTCCCCCGCTCCCATCATCCCCATCGGTGCGAGTTTTGCAGAACCGCTCCACCGCGGCTAGCAGGAGGCGGTTCCGTGCATAAAGTCCCATTCGGACGAAAGATACAGACGGATAGTTTAATTTATAACGGCTCTTGCCTCTCAGAAATGCAATTAAGGCTGCAATTATGGCCGAGTGTTATGAACAGGACCCGGCGGCTCCGCTCCGGGAACTTTCAGTCTCTCTCTCTCACTCTCACACTCGTGCACAAACTCAAAAACCAACCCCATCCACACCCACATTCAAATACTATATCTATATATACATTTGCACAGCGCCACCCTCGACGTGTCCACGGAAGGGTGCGCAAAAAAAAATGGCAATTAAATTTGATAGATGCTTGTTGTGAAACAGGAATTAAAATGGCTGCTGCCACCAACAGCTGATTTAGAACAGAAAATAATAGAACGTATTATAATTAAATACTTTTAACTTGTCAAGTATTGCGTCTCCGGGATGTTTTACAAATACTTATATACTTCTCAACGTTATTTACCATTTGAAATTTCAAAAGAACGAATTTAGTTTATGACGCGAAGTAAAAGGACCAAAGTTTTAGGTTAATTAATTGTGGGGTAGATTAAAGGTACACCCTGTATATCATGGATGTATATGGCTGCAAGGCAGACACAAAGGACAGGCGGCTTCGGGGCCTGCGGACTAAAGATTTTTATTTATGTGTGGCACACGTTTCGCAAGGGTGTAAGTAAACAGGTCACGTGCGCTGACGAGGCTTGTCATCACAGGGGTTGCAATTTCCCTGTAAAACATAACCGGATAAATTGGCCGGTGCGCGATCGGGGGTCGTTCGGTGACCATAGGGGGGGACACGAACACAGGAAGAAGAAAAAAGAAAAAAAAAACAAGCAGATTTCGTTGACTGGACTCGATCGAAGGGTGGACAAGACTTTCATATTTGCTTTACTTTTTTCCGCGTGCTCTTGCAGTTGGATTCCAATTAAAATAAAATAAAAAAGGGATGGATGAAGCAGTGGATGGTGGAGGAAAGGACGTATCCGTATTCTTGCTTAGGTAGACGGGATTATGCATTGGCAGGATTTTGTTATCCGCACATACCGAAACCAGATCACGCGCCGCTCGTGTGCAAGATATATTTCCCGACCGTTACGACGGGCTCAATCCGGCCTTGCGGGGAAAAATGAAAATTTTTTGATCAAAAATAATATTAATAAAAAAAAAATATATATATGAAGAAAACTGAACTGAAACTGCAAAGTCTGCTATTCCGCGTTTCCACGCAGGTATCCATCCGGCTTTTCCTCTAACGGTAACGATGTTGAGTCATGAATAAGATTTAGTTCTTTTTTTCTTAAATCAATTTCCTATACGTGACGTTACATTAATATAAGCAATATCTTTTATACAACTCTGTAGCTGTTTTTGAAGATTTTTGGAAGAAATGTTATGGGTTTAACTTTAGTAATGTTTCTGTTCCAAGGATTGACAATCTATTATTTGTAATCTCGTTGACAGGTTGTCAAATTTTGGATTGTTATATTGTTTTTCTATTCTTGTACGAAAGTAGTATTTCTTGACTTACCGGTGTGCGTTCGCTGGTGGGCTTTGAGGTGTGAACTCTTGGTGTAGACCTTTTTGCAACCCGGGAATTGGCACTTGTGTATCCTCCTCTTAGAATCGGGAGAATGGTCGAGTCTGCTGTGTTTGGCGGTGGCGGCGGCTGCTGGGGAGGCGGGCGACGGCACCACCGAAATGAACCTGGCCAGACTGGTCGTCCTCAGGCGAACGATCGTGTTCCGCGGCACGTCCTGCAGCGTGCAGAGGTCCATCTCGCTGGCGCTGGAGCTGCCGTTGCTGTTGTGACCTGGTGCAGATTCCGGACTGGAAGGCGGCGTCAGCGTCGTCGAGTTTCGCGCGACCAGGTGCAGATGAAGCTCATCGGTGTCCGATCTCGCCCTATCCTCGTACGCGTCTTCGTCGTCGTCCTCCTCGTCTTCTTCACGCTTCACGATCACCGCGCACGAAAGTGGTCCGTCCCACGAGTACGTCGAACTGGCGGAGCTCGTGCTCAACGAGTCCATGTGTCTGTCGTTGTACTCCTCCAAGCAGTCCACCTCCATCTTCCAACCGTTTGCCGTCGGCGTCGCGAACCACGATGTGTCCATGTCCGAAGCGTTGATCTTCTTGATCTGCATCTTCGGCTCGTCCTTCAAATATCGCTCCATTTCGTAACATGTCTGCAAAAAAAACAAAACAAAAACAACACAATTATTACAAACGTCACATTTACAGAACATAAATTTAAAATACACTAATCATAGCACTCTATCAAACAACTTCGTCAAGTGAATCAACTATCAAAATTCATCCCTTAACATACCAAGCAAATTAAAGGGTAATTCCTGTTTCCTTGATATTTTCAAAAATTATAATATTATCCCACTAGGCATGCTCAAAGAGTTAAAGAATCAAGAAAAATACAGATCTAAATCGATTAATTCGTTCCCAATTAGAATCATGTAAAAGTTTAAGAGTGAGTGCATGTATGTATCTGCTTCCTTCCTCTCTCGAAACAGTCCGTTCGTTAATTTAGATTGCGGCAGAAAGAAAAGTTGTTTCAATTGTTGGATAAACTAATTCCGCACGGAGAAACTATTTCCAGTAACTCGATTCCGTTAGGTCATTGCGGTTCCGCTGAAAACGCGAGACGCAGAACGGAAGAAAAAGTTTCCCGTTTTTCTTTTTCTCTCTTTCCCCTTTTTCTTCCCCCCCAAAGAAAAACCCTTTCGTCCGTCCACCCTCACCCAACAGAGAGTAAGAGATAGACTTTTTCTTTTTCTCTTTAATTCCCTTCGCTGCGTTTTATTTCTGGCGGCGCTATCGCGAAATGGTTTACTTCTGGATTTCGCTCCATTGATTTTCGGCCGATTCGGATTAGGATTTCGAGTTTTGTTTCCGTACCGGATTATATCGTTATGAGGAATAGCATTGGGTAATTGGGGTTCGGGGAGTAATCGATAATAATATGAGGATGGAGGGTGGGTGGAGGTTTAATATTTATTGTGTCTGCTGCGGTTGAGGAAAGGGTAAGGTTTTTGAAAAAGGGGTTGGAAATGCATAGCTTTGGGCGGCGAAATCGGTGTACGGCAAAGCAGTATGAGTCACTTGGTCATAATAGAGCCTGGGCATGCAATGATAACATTGTTTTCCAGTCTCTATGCCCATACAAATACACACACACACAAATACGTATAATGCACCTGGGAGATCATCATTCCCGGATGAATTATCGATTACGATGTGTCCATGATCGAGTCTGTGTCTGAGCCGGTTTTTTGATCTCGGATTTTTTATGGAAACACGTTTCACCAGGCCACCCCCGCGCTGCAATGTTCTTAGTTTTCGCATTAGATTATGAAGTTCGCGTGCGGCGGCTGAGGGCGATAAGGCACGCGCCCCCGCACGACCCCCGCCTTGATCCTGTTTGTTTAAGCCCAATCGCCCGTTCAATTAATTCGCAGTGGGGAAGGGACGGGCGGACATTTGTTGGTAAATATCTTTAGGGATCATGTATGTATATATATATATAGAGTGATATACAGTTAGATGTATGGTTACATATGTGTATCGGTTTCGAATATATCTCTGCACATTCAACTCAAACCCACCAAAACCACCCTCATAAAATATGTTCCGTGCCAGATGGCACTTTGCCCACTGGCTTAATTGAAAGAAGTAGACTAACGGGCGACGCAATCTTGTCCTCAGGGCGCTAAAAATCTATGCACTACCCTTCCCAAAAAAAATAATATATATATGTTCCTTACACAGACTGTTGACCTCGCCTCTCCACTCCCATCAAAATTGATAGTTTCAACACATCATCAAACATTTATTTCATCGCCATCAACGTAATATTACATAATGTCATCGCAAAATTTAAACATTCTATGTATTACAGTTTTCGAGAAAATCAATGAAATGTAAAAACACTGATTTTTCGAGCATTTTTTAAACTTTGAACATGAATTACACCTAAACGGCTAAAACCACAGTAATATATAGATACTTTCTTGATTCCCCAAACATTCAGATTTCATATGCATCTATTGGCTTCATTCTGTCTATTATAGTTTTCGAGAAAATCAATTAAATGTGAAAACACTGCTTTTTCGAGCATTTTTTAAACTTTGAACACGAATTACAGCCAAACGGCTAAAGCCACAGTAATATATGAATACTTGCTACATTCCCCAAACATTCCCCAAAAAGCTGAATTTGTATATTCAAATTAAAGGGGAAATTATAAAGAGTAAAGTGAGTACAATTCGAGATGAAAGTGAAACTCGCGAATAAGT